TAAACTGTATCTTCCAAACTACTGAACGGATCTGGGTGAATTTTGGATATGTGGTTCACCCAGATCCCCTGGTATATACTTTTTATGGGGTTATTGCATGTTTTGGGGTCCCTGTGATATGTTTTATAATACTGTATTTCTCTGCCTGTGATAATTATATTAACCATTGCGTTCAGTAATCATATCACAGGCCGAGGGGAGGATTTTGTGTGGGAGTGTCTGTGTGTATTGTACGGATTGATTGGTTGTATTTCAAAACCCTGTGGGCAGTACTATGTTTGTGGATTGTGAATAAAAAAAAGGCTTTATGTGCCAGTACAGGCAGTTCTGCTTGACCTCAAAACGAAGTGTCGTCTCGTTATTGGGGGAATTGGATTATATGCTGATTGCCAGGAGTGTAAACTGATTGTATGCTTTTCCTGTTCAGCTGCTTACAGCATTCATATGCTTGAGAGCATTCGTATGCTTCTCCTCTTTGGTGGTTGTGGTGTCTGCTGCAGTGCTTGGAGTCCTCAGGAAGTGATAGGCGCATCCTTCAACGGAGGTACCCACTCGGGGTGCCAGGTGATCCGTTACATTGGTGGAAAACGGTGGGATGGCATCCTAGTGCGAGGAGAAGCAGCTCGGAGACACTGGTAATGTTTGGAGTTACAAATTGAGGTCAACGCTAGTATCCGTACAGCGCCCCTGGCTACAGCAGGATGGAATCGGCTAGTTTTCGGACAGCATTCCATGATGATGAGGAGTAGGCGGCCGCGGACTACAGGGATGCAGACAGAAAGGAACTCTGGTATGATGCCCTGGAAGATGCCCAGTGGCGGCGAGGTGAGAGTCTCCCCAGTGATGAGCAGCGGCTACAGAAGCGTGTGGCGATGCGGATGTATCTATTGGGAGAGCAGCCCCTGGATGAGTGGGTGACAAGACTAGAGACCCTGGTATGGCGAGAAATCTGGCTAGACAACGCATACCAGGCCCTCTGGTGGCATACCGTTTGATTTACCCCTGGACGGCCGAGCACGACTTACTGGAGGGGGATGATTATGATGGCCCGGGTTTATTATGGGATGCCTTGGAGGACGACATTGATCTTGGCAGCACGGAGGGGTCTAGGTTTTGGGATATCTATGACTACTGGATGGGCATGTATGTCTGGGCTGATGAACGCGAGGTGAGCAAAGACATGACCCACCTGGTAACAAGGGAGTGGGAGCTGGAGCAGGACTACCAACACCTGCTCAGCTTCGTGCAGCCCCAACCTACCCGACAAGCAGAACCAGACCTCATTGACTGGTCCTGGGATGACCTCCAGATGGCAGGTAGAGATGGGACCGAGGTCTCTCTACTGGCCCTACAGGGATACTGGGCAGCCAACCCAGATCTCCAGCGACAATGTGAGTCCCAGGGAGCCGAAGGTGCCGTCCTTCCTCCCCAGCGGCAGTGTGAGTTCCAGGGAGCCCAGTGGCAGTGTGCGCCCCAGGGAGCTGAAGGTGTTGTCCTTCCTCCCCAGCGGCAGTGTGAATCCCAGGGAGCTGAAGGTGTCATTCTTCCTCCCCAGCGGCAGTGTGAGTTCCAGGGAGCCGAAGGTGCCGTCCTTCTTCCCCATCGGCAGTAGGTGTCACAGGGAGCTGAAGGTGTTGTCCTTCCTCCCCAGCGGCAGAGTGTGTCCTTAGGAGAGGAGACAGTTGGTCCCTCTCCCAGCAGTCCAGTGAGTCACAGGGAGCCGAAGGTGCCGTCCTTCCTCCCCAGCGGCAGTGTGTCCTGCAGGGAGCAGAGACAGTCGGTCTCGCTTCCCAGCAGCGGGACAATATATTGAAAGGGGAGACAGTCAGTCCCCCTCTTCACCAGCAGAGAGAGTGTCAGGGAGAGGAGCCTATTACCCCCTCTCCCCAACGGCTGAAAGTGTGTAAGGGAGAGGAGCTTGTTACCCCCTCTCCCCAGCGGCAGTGTAGCCCACCAAGGGGAGACAGTAATCTCCCTGTGGTGGAACGAACCTTGCCACTGGGCATTGGAGAAGCCTTTTTGCCCGCCTCCTGCCTGCTGACTATGGCCCCTGGGAGATTTGACCCTTTAAATACAGGATTTGGGCATGTTGTATTGTATTATGCTGCTACTGGCCCTTTAAGAACCATCTGGGGACATACTGTGGAGTTACTGGGTGGCCACCATTTCATGTATCAGAGGCACATGGTGAGAACAATGGATGGCGGCCATTTTAACTCACAGACACTGTTGTGACTTTTCTACACTGTGCCATCTCGCCGGTATTTGGTGCACAAAGACATCGTGCAGTAGTTTTAAACTATACAACAGGGGACACAGTATACAGTAATTATTTTTTATATAATCTGTATATGTTCTGCGGAATCTGCATTAAACTGTATCTTCCGAACTACTGAACGGATCTGGGTGAATTTTGGATATGTGGTTCACCCAGATCCCCTGGTTTTGGGGTCCCTGTGATATGTTTTAAAATACTGTATTTCTCTGCCTGTGATAATTATATTAACCATTGTGTTCAATAATCATATCACAGGCAGAGGGGAGGATTTTGTGTGGGAGTGTTTGTGTGTATTGTACGGATTGATTGGTTGTATTTCAAAACCCTGTGGGCAGTACTATGTTTGTGGATTGTGAATAAAAGAGGCTGTATGTGCCAGTACAGGCAGTTCTGCTTGACCTCAAAACGAAGTGTCGTCTCGTTATTAGGGGAATTGGATTGTATGCTGATTGCCAGGAGGGTAAGCTGATTGTATGCTTTTCCTGTTCAGCTGCTTACAGCATTCAAATGCTTGAGAGCATTCGCCATGCCTGCGTGTCATTAAAGCCAGTTTGTTTTGACCCTCAAATTGCAGCCTCGACTCGTTTTGAAGGGAAGAGTGTATCCTAGCTCTAGGTCGAGCGAGGTCATACATCCTGTAGAAGGGAGGCCTCTCAAAGCATGTTACAGAATACATCTGCCAAGGTCAGCATAATTATTTCAAACATTATTTTAAAGCATTTAAAACAAAAAGAGTTAACTATTTCATATCCTTACAGTGTGGGCACTAAAGAAACTAACTCCCTACTTGTATGGACAAGAGTTCACTCTGGTTACAGACCATAGCCCGTTGGTGTGGCTCAACCGGGTCTCTGGGGACAATGGCAGACTATTACGCTGGAGCTTATCCCTACAGCCGTTTAACTTTACAATCACCTACAGACACGGGAAACAGAATGGCAACGCCGACTGGTTATCCAGACAAATAGACCTCAGTCCAGCCTAACCACAGGTCTGGACAGCTTTCGTCTGCCCCGAAAAGGGGTCAGACGGTGTCTGCCAGAGTGTTCCACAAGGAGGGAGCCCTGTTTCGAAAGCCTCTCTGACTGCTACAAGACTATCACTTTAGTTCACCACAATGGATACTCTTTCTTTGTTATTTCCATCCGGATGTTTTTAACCCCATTATACGAATGAGCATGGTTACTCATTCATACATACAAACAACCGACCACCCAGCCCTTGGCGTGTGCCGCCACTTAACCCCAGTCACCCTTGGAACAACCGAAAGACTTGACGAATGGTCGACCACCCTACGAGAGGAGTGTGTTCATAATTAACTGAATGGAGTACGTATTAAACTGACAAAAGACTACCGAATGACGACCACCTGCACACTGGCGTGTGGCCTCAATTAACATGTGGTTCTTGCGGTTAACATAAGATTAAGTACCTCTTTCTCGGGGGGCCCCGTTCGTATACCGGACACGAGGCGGCGGCCATGTTTTGAGGTTGGTAAATACCCAGCAGTACCCATGCCTAAAAACTATGGAACTAGAATCGGCCACAGGTTTGCACGAACTCTGCTCAGATGTTGGTTGTCTTCTCCGTTCGTGGAAAAGCCGACAAACAGACTTTGTAATTTAGAATCATCATACACCGTTCATGAGATCTGAAGCACAATTGGCATTTCCTTTGCGCTCAGATCCGAGCTATCTAAAGACTGGTAGAATAGGCCATGTACGTATTAAAAAGTTATGTATTTTTATGCTGTTTTTCATGTGGGTATAAAACGTGGTGTTTCTATGTGCTTGGAGATAATTGGGTTAGTATAACCGTTGGCGGGCACCTTTTCAAAAGATACAGTGTAATGATATTGGTTAAAATATTGTATTGTCCTGTATCCCATCAGGTCCAGAGGGGGTTGTCCCTGGACCTATGGACTTGCATAAATTGCCATGCCTGCGTGTCATTAAAGCCAGTTCGTTTTGACCCTCAAATCGCAGCCTCGACTCGTTTTGTAGGGAAGAGTGTATCCTAGCTGTACCATAGCTAGTGGGATTGTTTCAAATTTGCAGGATTATCGTGGGATGCTGACAAGAGCGGCTCTTCTCTCTCTCCACACTTGGGAACCAGGATATCCAAGCGGTCCAACGTAGCCATGTTCAGACATTATCAGCGTGTCAGTCAGCTGCTATTCTTAGCCAGCACAGGGACTTATCAGTTCACCACCGCGTTCACCTGGCACTATCCTTGCAGCTAGAACTTAATCCTATATCACCCAGCGTATCACTAAATTAGATGTAGACAGCATTCTTTTAACAGATTACTTACTGTGAGATAGATAGCTGTGAATTTTTTAGCTGATACAGAGAAATACCCGATACTGCTTTGAAGCTATTTCTATACCGAAAATCACCCTTTTTTGGCGACTGGGTGTTATCATAGAAGCCGCAGCAGATACGACCTAGTGGTACTATCGATACCTATTTGTATCCAGCCAATATTGTAATTTGTCGAGTTGGACATCTATTTGGATATAATTAAGTGTATCCACGTTAGGCTGATCTCTGAATATATCCATCTATTAATAGGAATAAAGGCGACTTTTTAAAAACTGCATACTATAAAAATCGAGCCAATTTTAAGGCATGCAGTATACCAGCTTACTTATGGCACCATGCTAGAATGGGATATTATAATCGGGGCATAAGGTATTGTGACTTTGGTTATTTTTCACGGCTAGCTTCACGATTGACCTATTACCCAATCTGTGTTACGCTGCTCTGAACCTCCCCAAATATCCCAATAAGCTTATCATTGAGCATTATATTTATTCCCTCGATCCTTGAAACAACTATTAGTACATTCGTCTGTATTTAGACATTTAGTTAGAGACCCATATTCCTAGTTATTTCTAACGTTATTTGAAGGGTGCTTTTCAATACACGTACTCAGGAATTGGACTATTATATATATTCTTCTGACAGTATCCTCTGTTCAGCAATCTCAGACTCACACTGATATTTTGTTGCAAATTAGTGTGGCAACACGATATCACATCTGTCTCAGTCTGTACCGCCACACGGGTGGATATAATATATATACCTTTCGGATACTGCAGATTCAAATACCAGCAGTTTGTCCTATTTTAACTAATTACATATATTTTTGTTTTGCACTTTATATTATTATTTATTTATTTTCTTTACCAATACAGAGATTAATAAAATTATAGCTTTGTTCTGTTCTCTTTAAAACGGCACTTTTTTGGCCTGTTACTGTCAGAGCAACCTATACTGGGGTACAGGGACAGATACTGGGTGCGCTGTTTAGTTAACTCATTTCAGTCTTCCTTTCTACGCCTATACCCCCTACACTACACCTCCTATACTCCCTACACTACACTTCCTATACCCCCTACACTACACCTCCTATACTCCCTACACTACACTTCCTATACCCCCTACACTACACCTCCTATACTCCCTACACTACACCTCCTATACTCCCTACACTATACTTCCCTTACCCCCTACACTACAACTCCTATACTCCCTACACTACACCTCCTAGAACCCCTACACTACACCTCCTATACTCCCTACACTACACCTCCTATACCCCCTACACTACACTTCCCTTACCCCCTACACTACAACTCCTATACCCCCTACACTACACCTCCTATACTCCCTACACTACAAATCCTATATCCCCTACACTACAGCTCCTATACCACCTACACTACAACTCCTATACCCCTACATTACACCTCCTATACCTCCTACACTACACTTCCTATACCCCCTACATTACAGCTCCTATACTCCCTACACTATACTTCCCTTACCCCCTACACTACAACTCCTATACTCCCTACACTACACCTCTTACACCCCCTACACTACACCTCCTATACCTCCTACACCACACTTCCTATACCCCCTACACTACAGCTCCTATACCCCCTACACTACAGCTCTTATACCCCCTACACTACACCTCCTATACCTCCTACACCACACTTCCTATACCCCCTACACTACAGCTTTTATACCCCCTATACTACAACTCCTATACCCCCTACACTACACTTCCCATACCCCCTACACTACAGCTCCTATACCACCTAAACTACAACTCCTATAGCCCCTACACTACACCTCCTATACCGCCTACACTACATTTCCTATACCCCCTACACTACAGCTCTTATACCCCCTACACTACAACTCCTATACCCCCTACACTACAACTCCTATACCCCCAACACTACAGCTCTTATACCCCCTACACTACAACTCCTATACCCCCTACACTATATAAAATATACTACCTACACTACAACTCCTATACCCCTACACTACAGCTCCTATACCCCCTACACTACAACTCCTATACTCCCTACACTACAGCCCCTATACCCCCTACACTACAACTCCTATACCCCCTACACTACAACTCCTATACTCTCTACACTACAGCTCCTATACCCCCTACACTACAACTCCTATACCCCCTACGCTACAGATCCTATACCCCCAACACTACAACTCCTACAGCTCCTATAGGGGGTACACTACAGCTCCTATACCCCCTACACTAGAACTCCTATACCCCCTACACTACAGCTCCTATAACACCTACACTACAGTTCCTGTACCATCTACACTACACTTCCTATACCCCCTACATTACAGCTCCTATACCCCTTACACTACAACTCCTATACCCCCTACACTACAGCTCCTATACCCCCTACACTACAACTCCTATACCCCCTACACTACAGCTCCTATAACACCTACACTACAGTTTCTGTACCATCTACACTACGGTCTTATACCCCCTACAAGCTCCTCTCCCATATATACTTCCAGCCGCGGGGGAGGGAGACTGACTGTCTCTGCTCCCAATACAGAGTCCTGCTACTGGGTAAAGGAGACTGGGCTCTCTATTCTCTATTCTCGGTAGGACCAACTATCTCTGTCCCCTGTAACTCAGCCTGCCACTGGGGAATGGAGCTTGGGCTCCCAATTCCCTGCAATTCACTCTGCTGCTGGGGGACAGGACCACTTGTCTCTGCCCCCTGTAACTCAGCCTGCCGCTGGGGAATGGAGCTTGGGCTCCCAATTCCCTGCAATATCTCCCGCTGGGGAATGGAGCTTGGGCTCCCAATTCCCTGAAATATCTCCCGCTGGGGAATGGAGACTGGGCTCCCCATTCCCTGCAGGACCGGTGGAGGGACCTCGGTCCCATCTCCACCAGCCACCTGGGGTT